ATATATATATATATATGTTAAAAACCTCTTTTGGTCCCTTATAATATTTTTTTGTTTCAATTTAATTCTATTTTAATTTTTGGTTTCAATTTAGTTATCAATAATTAAAATCATTGTAATTTAGGACTTCCGTCCAAATGATTTAAACGGGATTAACTGTTGGCCACGTAGATGCGTACGTGGACGCCAAATTGCATGAATACACCTAGAACCAGAACGGCCCGTTCTGGATGCACTCTTGGTGTGTTAATTTTGCAACCGGAACGGACCGTTCCAAATGCAAATTTCACACACCATCAGTGCATCAGAACGAGTCGTTCTGAAACCAGAACGGGCCGTTCTGGTTTTAGAACGGCCCGTTCTGGATTCAGAACGGCCCTTTTGGATTTAGAACGGCCCATTCCAGAAAGCCAACTCCATGCATCCGTTGACCAAAATGCCGCAACGTGATTCAAAAATTGAAAATAAAAATTCATAACATATCATAAATTCAAAGACAGAAACATAGTTCAGAAACTGAAAACAAAAATTCAGAACATAACATATACTAAAAATGTTCAAAAAAATTACTGAGAAAGGAAATCATGTGGGTAACGCTGAAGGGAAATCCTAAATCACAAAAATTCAGGTTGTACCTCCTCAAGAACATGTTGTTATTGTTGGGGTACATCGTCAATGACTTCAAGGGAAAACACCGTTTTGTTTCATCCTTGACTGTATAGTGTCAATTTGGTAGTAAGTGATTCACTCCAGTTTGACTAACAATGAAATAAAATCTGCTACCATTGTCTTTAGTGATACACTGCATTGTCCTTAATGATACATTGTATAGCCCAACTATTTAGTAATTGAAGTTATCAATTTTCATTTACAATATTACCAAATTCAGTGTTTGAAATCCTTTGTACCTTGTTTTTTTTTCACGATTCACAACCGTAAACTATAATCAGTGACCAATCGTGCTAAAAAACCTGGAACCAGAACGACCCATTCTGAAACTAGAACGGTCCGTTCTGGTTGCACTCTTAGTATGTTAATTTTGCACCTGGAACGGGCCGTTCCGGATGCAAAATTAACACACCAAGAGTGCAGCCAGAATGGCCCGTTTTGGTTTCAGAACAGGTCATTCTGATTCCAGGTTTTTCCAGAAATTTTGGCGTTCACGTACGCATCTACGTGGTATCTACGTGGATGCCACGTGGCCAACAATTAACTCCGTTTAAATTATTTGGACGGAAGTCCCAAATTGCAATAATTTAAGTTAGGCTAAAAACCTATTTTGGTCCCTTATAATCTTTTTTTGTTTCAATTTAGTCCCTCATTAATTTTTGGTCTTAATTTGGTCCCAAACTAATTAATTGGTTTCAATTTAGTCCCAAATTAATTAAATGGTTTCAATGTGGGACTTTCCGTCCAAATTGCTTTAACGGTGTTAACTTTTGGCCACGTGGACCCCACGTAGATGCATACGTGGATGCCACGTGAATGAGAATTTTTTGAAAACACCTGGACCCAGAACGGCCCGTTCTAAAACCGGAAAAGGTCGTTCTGGATGCACTTTTGGTGTGTTAATTTTGCATCCGGAAAGAATTTATTATAAATTTGAATGATGATATGAACAAATAAAATAAAATGGCTTAGTGGGTAGGACATGTGACTATCATTTAAGGGAACCAGGGTTCGAATCCTACAAATTTGCATTTGGTTTTAAAAAAAAAAAAAAAAAAAAAAAG